ATATATATATATATATATATATATTTTAATTTTCATTGATCAGGATGCAGATCCTGGAAAAATCTTATGACTCACCCTATTGGTCACAAGCAATAATTGCTATTATGCAAAAACCTTTCCTTGCGCTAAAAGTAACACAGGGCCTAAAGTTTTGTTAAGGTGTTCACAGCGTTGCGTCACTTTTAAGGATTAAATACACTAAAGACTCAATATTTATACATCATTAGTTCAAAGGAGTTCCCCACCCCGTGCATTGTTGAAAGCCTTTCGCTTGCATTACAGAAAAGGCACACCAAAACCACAAACAATTACACATATAATGATATTTCCAGCTATTGCTTTATTTCAAATATGTCTGGTATTTTATTCTAGCTGGTTTTCAGCATTTTGGCACACAGATGGCATGTCTAGTGGAGTTCAAGATGCTAAATAAAAAGTACCAGAAACGTGTTAACAACTAAACTAAAATGAGCTCAGTTTACTTATACATGGGCTATCACAGTGTTGTTTTATCATCTATATTTAGCTGAAACGTAGTTTCTAATTATAGTCATAATTACTACATAAAACTAAGCATCATAATAAAAGACTTTTAATTTAAATTTCTATCCCAAAACCTAAAAAAAAACAGTAAATGTAAAAAATATTTTATTGAAGTATGTATATTGGAGTACATTTCACAAGAAAAGGCTCTTTCAGTTTTTCTACTTCAAAATTTAATGTTTGAAAAGTCTGTTACTTGCCTTTCCTTTGTAATTTTTTTTTGTGAAATTTACTAGCAATTTATGAGTAAAAATAGTTTCTACACTCAGTGTATAACTGTAAAGATTGAATAAAGATGTCATGAACAAAGGGATGTGTGGTTGAAAAAAATTAAAAATAACATCAATATAATTGATTGAATATTTATTGAAGTGGCTTCAAACTTCCAGTGAATTATTGTTAATTTAATTTAATTTAATTTAATTTAATTTAATTTTAAATAAAAAAAATAAAAAAATAAATAAATTAAATTAAATTAAATTAAAT